ATACTAGGTATTGAAAAAGTAAATAGAAGTATAGTAAATATGAATGCTGGTATAAGTGCACGTGTCCATGTTGATGGATGTAGTAAAATAAAATAAAAACCTTGAAATGGTGCAATAATGCCATTTAAAAAACCAGGTGGTAATGATTTTATTCGATTTAAATCTGATATAATTTGATTTATTAATGATTGACGATCATAAAAAATTCCATGAATTTTTGATGAATGTTTTATATGTGGTTTTGTTGTTGATGAAAGTATATATATTGTTGAAATTTGTTTTAATTTTATAAGACGATCTATTAATATTGTTGAATCAGTAACAACAAGTGTTAAACCATGTAAATTATTTGGTAATGATGATATAAATTGATAACAAACATCTTCACTTGTAAATAAAGCAATATATGAATGTAATTCATTTGGTATTGGTTCATCTTGATTATTTTGTAACCATATTATATTTGTTGTTGTATTCATTTTTTGATTAGAACACAAACAAAAAAAAAGTGATCGGATATTTGATATATGTTATACTTCTTCGTTTTTTTTACTACTGTTTTGTTTTGTTCTACCACCAATCAGAATTAAGAGCGACATTATTCCTATATTACAGAATAACAAAAAAATAATCATGAACTCGCGTTCATAAAATGATGATGCGCCACACTATAGGATAGAGGGTGTTAAATACTCTTGTTTTCTTACATTTCTCTAAATGTAAAAAAGGTAAATTGTTCCTCGGAAATTGTTAAATGTAAAAAAAAAACCTGCAGTGCTATTTCCGATAAAAATTTATAAATAGAAATATATATTACAAATCAATTTACAATTTTACTGATTAACCCTTTCAGTCTCAAATTATTTCTGAGTGGATTCAATTGTTATATTAGCTTAGTTTAGACATAAATATTTCGTGTGCATTCGCATGTGTTGTATTTAGTAGAAGCTTTTATTGAATTTTGTTATACTTGAAGAGAAATTTTAATTGCTAAAATTTTTATGAGCACTCTTTATTGCTTCATAGATACTAATTTTTATAAATTATGTTGTGCAAAAAAATAATTATAAAATATGTGTAACTTTTTTGCTACTATGAGACTGAAAGAGTTAATGAGAATTACAATCCTTATTATATATTTGTTGTATCACATAGATAATAATAGAAAAATCTTCAATAATTTGAGTTGATATCACTTGAACATTTTTCAACAGAGAATATGCAACCAAGAAATGTTTCTCAGTCATGACTACAACAGTGAATGTTTCTAATTGGAACAGTTCTACAAACACTTTAACCATTTATTTTTTTTTTGTTCTAAGCAATTTTTATGTAAACTGACGAGAGAACCATCCGAAGTAATTCACCGCTTTTGAGCTCATATTTTGGGCATATAGAGGAGACTTTTAGACTAGAATAATCCTAAAAGGACTCGGG